CATTTTGTATATTTTAATTTATTGACTATACTATACATATTTGCGATTCTATACTATACATAATATTATATATTCCCTTTTAAAACTATGTTGAGATATTTTTCATCTCATTTTATTAATTTGGCTAAAATTACGAATTAATAAATTTTAATAATTTTAACGATTAAGTTATAGGGAACTACTAAAATTTACATATTAATATTAAATATGGCAACATAGTTTTACCCTATTTATACACCACTTACACGTTACAGAATTAAATTTAGCGGGAGTTAGAACGTTTTAATAGCTGATAGTATTATTTAAACGATTAAGTTATAGAGACCTATTAAAATTTATATATTAGACTGAATATAGTAACATAGTATTAAAACACCACATTTTTATGTCGAACGTAAGTTACAGAATCGAATTTGCTTTACTAGAAAGGGAGTTACAACATTTTAAAAATACATGGTTATTATAATAAATTTTTTAAATAAATGTTTTAACTAATAAATCAACCAACTCTTAAAATCCCAGATCGGAGCAAGGCTGACATTAAGCAATCCCAGCAAAGTATACTTATAATAAAAGTATTATGTGGTAACAGATGACTTTCATTGGCAAATTTTATTTATTCCGATTCGGAATTTAGAGTTTTCCTGCATGAGTCATAATATTGACTAAGACCTTACAACTACAAGATCTTGACTATTCGGGATACCGATAGTTAAAATTCTGATGGTCAAAATCCCTGGAAACTCACTGATGAATAATAAGGTCAAATAGATTAAATAGCATTTGTTTAAACTTTAGAGTTTAGTATCATAACTAGGATCATGAATATCTACGTAGTATGTGAAATTGTTGAAATTGTCCTGAGTAGTGACATGAGTAGATCACCTTCAATGAATTATACAAATTACTGTTACTGTTACAGTGCCGCAATTTTATTAATAATCAATGTCGTCTTAACTATATATATATAAATAAAAAATAATCTTTTTTCATGAAAATCTCGCCATTACATATTAATGAATGACTATTTCGAACATAAAAGGACAATCGTGAACACTATCATAAAAGATATGACGCGTCTGATATGTTATATCCTGGTTCTTTAACACAAGCTTTAATACAGTTCATTTCAGTGCTTCAAGTTTCTAATCGTAAGCCTTCAGATCTTATACTTGCAGGATTTTGTGACATGTCCTGTCCATCACATCGACGCATATCATCCTTTTGATATCATTTCTTCCTTCCGAAAGATATCTTTTTTATAACGAAATTACTTTAATTGATGCGATAACGATTGTTGAAAACGTAAAGAAAGACGACACTAAAAATCTCGTACAAGCATTTAATAGAAATATTGTCTTCTTACAAAATATCTTCGAAAGACTAAATAACGGAAGCATAAAATTTTTATATATTTTATTTATCTATTTTAACACAAATAAGCACAACACACTAATATTTGTAATAAAATAAATAATGATTAAAACTCATAACTTTGTTTTTAACTGTATAATTTAAGGTATGGCGAATACTTTTTTATAGGGAGTATAATAGTATTTTTACAATGTATTACGATACACTGGGGCTCACACTGTTTTTTATCATAACCGTAACCTAACTAGTCGCGTGCCATAAACTCATTGGAATAAGTCTACTGCATTTCTAATATCTATCCTTTTACGCTATATAAAATTTGAGTAGCTAGCAGGGTTAGGCAAGTCATATATGCGGACATTTCCAATTTGTCCTATGTGGTGTCCAGTGTCCGATGAGGCGCAGTTACAGTTGGAATTGCGATAATATTGCATAAGACAATTCGGACAGTTTTCCAATGTCCGGTGATGCATATTGACACCAATATAACTTAGAAATTATAGCAAATCAGTATGGTATAACAGCCCGATTTTAAAACAATATTATAATTCCTAACCCTACCCTAACGCTAATATGTACTGTACGTAAGGGAGGGTCAGGTATTTTGGCGCACCTAAGAGTTGCTCATATAAAATTTTTCAGGGAAAATTTATTTTTTCTCAAAATTTATAGAAATAGATTACTTAGGTATTTAACTATCAGCCAATAAAAAAAAAAATTCAAATTTATTAAAAAAAAAATTGAAATATGATCAATCAAAATCTACTTATAAAATGCTATGTTTTAAAAATTTAGAGGGTATTATGGCGCACATCGGACACATCGAATTAATATTGGAAAATCATTGCATTACTATTATTGGTAACTATAGCACAGCATAATTACACATGATTAACTTTTCTTTTTTTACGTAACCATTCTTTTTTTTTTTTACTCACTCTCAGCTTTTTTTTTTTCTTTTTTAGCTTTTTTTCTTTCTTTTTCAGCTTCCCGATCAGCTCGTTTCTGGGCTGCTTCCTCTTTTCTTTTCTTTGCATTTTCAGCTTTACTCTTTGCTAACTCATCCATTTCTTTTAAAGCATTTAGAGAACCTTCATTAGTAAGAAGTTGAGCAAACAGCAAAGTTTTTTGTCTTTTTGGCTGATTGGACTCCTCATTGCCTTGTATTGGAACTTGGGAAGTAGGGTACTTAAGGGCTAATTTTAAAAAGCAAGTACTAGGATTTTTAAATGTTTTAAGTTCCTCTTTTAGTAGCATATTTTTTCTCTTTAGAGCATGAATTTCTGCTTCTAATAGCTCGTTCTTCCCAGTAATACTAGTTTTTATAAGACTTGAAGATGTCGATATAGAAAAAGGTATATAAGAAGATGATAATGTAAAAGAAGATAGTGTAGGAGAAGACAGTAAAGAAGGATAATAGTTTTGTTGAGATGAAGATAAAGTATTAATTCATTTGGTAAATAAAGAGATATCAAGGTGATGGGGACTAATAGCATTAGAATTAAAAGGCCAAATTCCCATAGCTTTAAAAGAGTTAGCTATTGTTGTGGGGTGTAAGTCTTTATAAATGCAGAACCAAGCATTTTAGCAAACGTGTACTTACACTAGCTCATCAGTTACATGGTAAAGTTGATTGCAATTTTTGCTATATTCGTTTTTAAGTTTAGCAAAAGTAGGGTTCCTACAAACCCGGATCAAATCAAACTTTAGGCCAAGTTTGAGTTTGATTTGATTTCAAATCAAACCTGATCTCAAACTAGCATTAAAAAAAATATTTGAGTTTGATTTGAAGCAAACTTTTTTAGTTAAATTT